TGACAAATTTAATTATGACATATCCAAGAAAAAGGCATGGCAGACAAAGCAAAAGGCTATTGTGGAACTTTTTGGTGATTGGGTGGAATCATATAAGTTGTTGCCTAGATTGATGGATGTACTAAGAAAGAAAATCCTGGGACTGTGGTGCATTGGGATAAAGCCGTGAATCCAAGTCCAAATCAAGAAGTATTGAGTTGTGTGTTTTGGGCATTTGGTGCTTCTTCAATCGAAGGGTTCAAACATTGTTGGCTTATCTTAAGTATTGATGACACTCATCTTTATGGAAAATTCAAGGGAATATTACTTATTGTTTCGTGTGAAGTTATCAATCAGTTGCTTCCACTTGCCTTTTGCAATAGTAGAGGGTGAGAACACTGACGGTTGGAGTTGGTTTTTGGCCTGCGTTCGGGAGTTTGTGACTTCACGTAAAGGCTTTTGTGTTATATCAGATCGACATGCCAGTGTTTTTACTAAGAAAGGAAATTTTGTAATTAGGAAAGAAAATTTTTTTTATTTGAAAAAGAAATTTGTGTTTTCCATGTACAGCTAGAACTTTCCTTTATTATACTATAAAAAACATTCACGTAAATGCTAGAATTAAGGAATTCATTCCATAATTTTTAAGATGGTATCAAAACCTTCCTTTCTCTGTGGCCTGACCTAAAAAAATTCTAAAACCACATGGCGACACCTCCTCCCAACCCCAACCCACCTCCTGTCGATACCTCTCCTCTAGCAACCATCGGGGATGACTCTTCTCCTTAGCATCTTCTATCTTCTGATTCTCCCGTGTGTGAACCTCGCAATTCCAAGAAGTCTATTCTCGGCAGGGCTCCCGTGCTGCCGGTTGCCAATCATGTTCTAGCAATGCAATCCTCCTCACCTGCCATGGTCCCTAGCTTGACACCCGAGCAGTATCAGCAACTGATTGATCCTCTCACACCCGTACCCTGTGATGCCAATTTCGTTGGTAACTCCTCTATTTTATCTTCTTCATCTCTTTCCTTTAATCTCATTCATGTCTGGTTGTTTGATAGCGGTGCTAGTGATTATGTCTCCTAATCATAGCTTTTTTTGTAATTGTGTTCGTTCTATCAATGCTCATCCCATTCGCTTACCCACTGGGGATTTGGTTTATATTGAAGGAATTGGTGATATTCCCCTCTCTCCTTCTCTCCATCTTTTGAATGTATTCTATGTTTGTACATTTAAATTTAATCTTCTTTTTATTCCTAAGCTTATGCTGCTCCTTTTTCTTGTTCCTCTTGTATTTTTCATGACCAATGAAAAGGTTGATTGGAATAGGTGAGGCATGCAACGGGCTCTACATCTACCATCTTACTCCACCTACGGCTTCCTCTGCTAGTAGTCACCCCACTAATGCCCTTTGGCGCCAATGCCCGGGCCATCCCTCTACTTTTCATGTTCCTAGTTTTAATAAATTTTCTTGTTCTCTTAATAATTGTGATGTGTGTGCTCGTGCCAAGCACGCTTGAACTTCTGCCGCCGCATATGTAGAAAACATTAGAGCGGGGAAGGAAGAACAACCCTTTGACTTTGGCACGTGAGGTGGCAAGTTTGGCTAGGTAACATAATGAAAATGTATTGGATGCAAATCTTGGAATGACGTTTCGACCCTGTCCTTGGTCTCGAGAAGTGGTGAGCAACATAGAACTTGAATCAATCAAATGGTATATAAGGGGCTTTCCTTAGTTAGAAATCCACAAACAACATTCTAGAACTTCCAAACCAAAGAAATGCAACATGAGAAGAAATTTTTTATGTTACAATTCAATAGAATGAATTCGATAAGGGTAGAATACGCCCTATGGTCGATTAAAGGTCCGGTGCCACCTTTTTCGGATTTTGCTAATAAAAGTACATTAGTTTTTAATCGAATTTTTGTTTATATTTGGGGTGATTATCACACACAATCCACTAGTGCTGCACATTTTTTTTCTCACTATTATCAATGACATTTCATGTGCTACTTGGGTTTACCTCATGTGCTTTAAATCCGAAACCTCTCTTTCCTTAAACATTTTTTTGCGCTTGTTGAGACTCAATTTCATACTCGAGTTAAACTTGTCTGTTCTAACAATGGTGCTAAATTTTTGTCTAATTCCTTGCAAAATTTCTTTAGTTACAATGGCATCATTCATGAGCATATTTGTGTTAAGATTTCACAACAAAATGGTGTGGCTGAACGCAAACACAGACACCTCTTGAATATAGCTCATAGTCTCCGTTTCCAAGCCAACCTTCCCATTAGGCTCTGGGGTGAGTGTCGCCTCATTACAACATACTTAATCAACTGAACACATCTCCTCATCTCCAAAATAAATCTCTTTTCGAACTACTTTTTAATAAGCCACCATTTTATGATCATCTATGTGTATTTGATTGTCTTTGCTATGCTCAGACACTCAAAGCACATCGGGATAAATTTTTACCTCGTGTCACCAAATGTGTCTTCCTAGGTTACCCTAGCTCACACAAAGCCTATCGTGTCTATGATCTTGACTCAAACCAAAAAAAAATTCTAAAGGGGTGTGACCTTCCAGGAAATGGTCTTTCTTTTTTCTATTCTACTATATCCTCCTACCCTACCACTTCTTGTCCTTCCTCACCCAATTCCTAAAACTCTTGATGTCTACCTTACCCTAAGATCACTTCCACTTCCTCTTCTAATATATCACCACCACCCTTACCCTCACCCCATTCATCGCCACCTCCTCCGTCCCTGCTACCCTCCCGACCGCAACGTACGATTACTTGCCCCCTCCACCCCTGTGATTACATTTGTCCTACCCTCCATGCAGAGTCCACTGCGCCTTCATCTGTTCCACAGTCCTCATGTACTTCTCATTCACTTCTTTCCTTTCCTATTCCTATTTTTCTGCTACGCACTTTACCTTTTTAGCTGCCCTTACTATTGTTGTTGAGTCTTCCTCCTACTCTTAGGCCATCCATCTTTCTCATTGGCGGGAGGTCATATCCTCTAAACTTAGTGCTCTACAGGCCAATGGTACTTTGACTCTTGAACATCTTCCTCCTAGTAAGGTAGTTATAAGTGGGTCTTTAAGACCAAACCTCAAATTGATGGTTCCATTGGGCGCCATAAGGCTCGATTGGTGGTTGAGGGCTACACACATGTTAAGGGGCTCAACTACCATAAAAATTTTGCGCCCATTGCTCGGATGGTTACTTCAATTTAATTGGAAATTAGGTTATTCATCAACTTGATGTTCATAACGCCTTTCTACATGGTGATATTGGTGAGGAAGTTTACATGACCCTTTCCCCTGGATATTGCACTAAGGGAGACTAGAGTTCATTGGCTAAGGAAATCTTTGTATCGGCTCAAACAGGCTTCCCGCAATTGATTTTTCAAGCTTTACTATGTTCTTCTTGATTCAGGTTTCAAGCAATCCCAGTCGGATCATTCCCTCTTCACTCATGTGACTACTTCATTCACTAGTTCTGGTGTATGTGGATGACATTCTTGTTTGTAGACAATGATGTTTCCCAGATGAATCATTTCAAGCTGTTTCACTCCCAGTAGTTAAAGACCAAGGATCTTAGCCCGCTCAAGTGTTCCTGGTCTTGAAGTTGCCAGTACCCTTTTTGAAAATTTTCTCAATCAGCGAAAGTATGCTTTGGAGATTCTTTCTAACAATGGTCACTTGGGTGCTAGACTCGCTTCCTTTCCCATAAACACTAACAGTGATCTTCTCTCTGATCCAAGCTTTTATTGTTGATTGGTGGACCGTATAATCTACCTCACCATCACTCACCCTGACATTGTTTACCCGGTGAACATTCTTAGTCAGTTCATGTTCTTCATTACCCAAAAGGCTCTCTTGAACAATATCCACACAATATGTGCACACACGCACTTGAACACACACACACACACAATGCATGAGGAAGAGGAGTAAATATTAGATGTAACTGTTAGACCACATCAGGATAGACACTCAGTGCAACTATTCAATGATAATTCAACAATTAGGCAAAATGCCTACTCTTTCAAATAATTACTCATTCATGTAAGATAGTAATTGCCACACATTAGAGAGAGAGAAAGAGAAAAGAAAACTCAAAGCATAATTGCATTGTCAATGTGACTACACTCCTTCCAAATTCCACATTTGACTACACAAATAAAAGCCACCACATTACTCACTTTTTTTAAACACCGCAATTTAAGTTTGCACAATTATGTATAGGAACGCCTTGAGCCCAACCTTTTGGGCCATTTAGAATAGAGGAATGCTACATGTATTTAAAATGATGACTTAATTTATTGGTTTGATCAATCACTGTCATTAATTTAATTATGGATGACAATATTATTTGCTGACTAGATCAATCATTGTAATTGATTTAACAGTGTCAATATTATTTATTGACTTGATCAATCAATATCATCGATTTAACTGTGGATCTCAATATTTGTTAAGACTCACTATCTATTCAATGATTGTGATTGATCGAGTCAGATTTTTAAGTCAAAGTACCATATTCCTTCACAATAAGTTAAAAAGGAAGAGTCATACCCCAACCACACAGAACACGAACATCATGAAGGGTTATATTACAGAAGAGTCATCAAAGAATGACTATAATAAACAAATGCTGCATGCTCTAGGTCTTGCTTTAGGGAAGAGTTCCTCTTTTTCCTCCCGTTAGCTACAGACCAAAAAATTCCAGCATTCTTATAGTACTGGGACAACATAGTAATCACTCACAACATGATCCAGGAAACACATACGACATGGCTGAATGTTCAAAAAGCTTTCGGATGGGATGACTGTTGCGGGCGGGTTTCAGTGCAGGAATGAAAATACTCTTTGCTAGTGTAGGGCGACCATCTTCATCCTGATATTTAACAATCATCTGCGCCGCTGATCACACCATGAAACAGCATCTTCAAATATACTGCCACATGTTTTCGGGTTGGGTATGCCACGACAACATTCCTCCCTCAATTTTTAATCATCTGCACCAGATTCCACAGAAAATTTACCTCAGAATTTAGTTGCCAAACTCAATATTTGTTTGTCGTAGTTCCATGCCAATAGATGTTATCATTATGCTTGCATGGCATAGCTAGCTACTGGTGAAAATTGGTGAAAAAAACTAATACCAACAAACAAACAAAAAAAACCCAATAGAATAGCCTTTAAAAGTGCCACAACGTTTGTCCAAGGCACAATTATTATAAACCAACAAGTGGTGTTCAGTTCCAACCAGATCAGAACATACTTCAGCTCAGTTTTGTTGACAAAAAAAATGAAGCATTTAGAAAGGAGGAATAAGCAATTGATCAACATGTAGCATTAACATAGTACGAGAGAACGCAGTGAGACAAGAAAAGAAAAGATACGAATCTACAAGGGAGAGAGAACATTGTGATCCAGGCAATAAAATACTATACGCAAATGTTACTCAATCCCCTGATTAGGCCTTATTACCATTTGCATGTGCTTTTATCGTATTTAAGTTTTTAATGTAAATGAGGTTGCCTTGCCTTGTCATTTGTGGCAATAAACCTAAGACATGATCAAAAAACGAAAAGAAAAAACCTAAGATAGTTTTTAACATTTGCAGCTTTACTAAAGTCTGTCAAACAAATACTGCTATCATCTTTCACATGCTATAAACATCAATGATGCAACTAATATTTGCTCTTGGACAAATAGAGGTCGAGGAAGCTTAGTTAGCTTTCGCAATTGGTGATCATTAAAGCTTAAAAAGCATGCAGAGAAAGAATTCCTTCCTCGAGAATTTTTTTTTTCTTTGAAGTAAACTATGTCCTTGTTATTCCACCACTTTGGTGCCAGATCATATAAATAAGATGAGGAATGGTAATAAAGCAGAGTAATATTGTGAACAATGTCAAGCTTTATCCATTACAATGCACTATAAAAACTATATTCGATAGACTTACCATTTGCAGGGTCAACATGTACAAAGAAACTCGCAGCAACTATGAGATAGCATAGAATAAGCATCAAACCCTTAAAATAGTTTGATGTCCCTTCCTGCAGCAATTAGAGCAAGGATTATGAAGTCACCCATAAGCAAGATTACAGTGAGAATACAATTAATTTAAAGGAGAGATTGCTACAGGTAAATTGTGGAAACAGGGTTTTTTTAGTATTAAAGTCAAATCAGTTATCTTTGTTACTAAACCACTCCTAAGCACAAGCCTCTCCAGCTTCGAATACCATTACAGTATGCATAAAGAAACCATCAAGAGATTGTAATGGCCCTCAACAAAGAAGAGATTGTAGCGACAAAAATTTGAAAACAAAAAAAAAAAGAGAAAGAAAGAAAGGAAATCAGGTAAGATAGAGAAGTTTAGTTCACACTGACTTTTAATACATGTATCACACTCACACTGCAAGATAGATATCAATCATGCTCAATTAGTTACAAATCTCAGAAACCAATATTCACCAAGGCTCAAGAGAGTCAGAACTTAGCTGTCCCTTTCACTTAATACACACTGATTATAGAGTTCAGTCAACTTCAACATGCACCATAATCATTATTACCAGAAGAATTTTTTGAAAAGGCACAAGGGACTATTTTTTCCATCATTTACAGCTGAAATATCAAGGTCATTCAACACGTATTAAGTACTCCTGAAGGTTGAATGCACTAGAATGGTTCCAAAATTTATAATCCCTATCTCCACACGATCTTTAAGTTCTTTTAATTAGTAAACACATCTGGTGAAAGCAATCATCTCCTCTTTGCAGTAGAAATAAAGAAACAATGCAGCATTGCTTAGAATATAAATTAAAGGAAACGAGATTTCAGGTCCTGCTTGCGAATAGTAGGGATTTGAGAACTCTGCAATCGTGTTGTGGGCGCAGAGGTAGACAGCCAGTACACAAGAGTTAATTACAATCTAGCACTTTCCGTGAACTGGGGTGTGTAAAAGTTCATCCTAGATACTCTATGTAAGTTGATCAATTTGATTTTTGGCAGAAAAACCTCAATTAAGCCAAGAAACATTATATCAGAAAAGGCTGATGCTAGGTAACGTGTCAAAATGGTTTCTATAAATACAAGCATATCAACCTCATGACACATCCACATCAAATATGTTGCGTATCAAGTGGATGGAAAATAGGTCATCTAGCTGGATTTTCTGAGTGTTATTTGGCAGAAATTGTGATGATGAAATCATAACTTCTTCTAGTATGACTTAAACATAAGCTGCATATTTTTTCTCGTCTTCTTAGGCATGCCTTAGCGGTGGCGTCCTCCCATTTTTCATCATTCCATCATTGGAGCATGTAAATATTTTAAACTCGACATAAAGACATCTCGAGTTTCTGAGTAAGATTCCAGTGAAGATAAACTAAGGTAAAACTTGAACATCAAAGCAGAAACATAACATTATCAAATTCGTCCCAATATTCACCACAGATGACATATCTAACATGCTCCGAAAGAGCAAGACATAACTATCTCAAAACATTTACATGCATGTCAATAAAAATTTAAGAACAAACCTGCAGCATAAATGCCACCACTAGAACTGTGATAAAGAGTGTAGCAGTCTCAAAGAGTTGAAAATTCAGATCCATTCGCGTTCCCATGAGCCAACCAACAACCACACAAAAGGGAATCTGCATTTATCAAGAGCCCAACAAACGTAAGACCTACATTCAGAAAAATTAGCATCTACCTACGTTACAACATTAGTTTCAGCCACTCAGGCTTATACCTTCCTGCACGAAATGAATATAACATATCTCGTGAGATATGGGGAAACAAGGAAGATGTACAACTTGACCCAATTACATACAAGTATGAAAGCGCTAATAACATCAATAGCAGGGGCGGCCCCAGCTCTTTTGGGGCCTAAAGCGAGGATTCTAAAATTAGTATTTTTTATTTTTTATTATTAATATGAAAAAATTTATTCAACTTTTTTTTGTTTTATTTTTTTCAAATTCAGGTTTAACCATCCTAATAAAAAATTTATTTATTACTTTTTCGGTGTATAATTTCAATATCTTCTCATTAAGATCTATCACTTGTTCATTTCAGAACTTTCACCTAAGTCTTTTGTTATATTTTTTTATTAGTAATACTAAATTTATTACGGCTTCTTTTTTTACGATTCAATTAGTTTTTCTCTTTTTCTCTCTCTTTTTTAAGTTTCTCATATTTGAATTGTTGTTTTTAGTAATCACAAATTTTTGGCAATCCAATTTTTTTAAATAAATCAATCAAATTCTCTCTATAAGAAAAAAACTTAATAAAAATCAAGCTTATAAAAATTAATTTATCACTAGCATTCCTAAAACTAAGGATATTATAATGTGATTCTCCTTTAATATCATCTATCAAAAAAAATTAAAACAAAATGAATAAGTGAATTGACACTATATTTTTTATAAAATAAAATTGAAAAAGAGAAAGTGCGAGTGTCAAATAATATACTAGCGTTGATTCGATGCGAGTATTAAACTACATAGGGCCCTTTTGTTTGGACTTAATTTATATGAGTTCAAATTTTTTGTCAGGATCATATTGAAGACTTATAAAAAATTGGGGCCTTCCTTTTATATGGGGCCTAAGGCACCCGCTTATTTGACCTAGCTATTGGGTCGGCCCTACTCAATACACAAATCAAATTTCCAAAAGTAATTAATGCTACAACTTTCAAAAATTAACATGAATAGGACAGTCTTCCGAACATTTCTTCATACACAATCCCACTCAGCAATTCTCTCTCTAACTTCGCTTGTCGAATGTTAATTTCAAGGACGAAATTCTTTTAAGGGAGGTAGGTTGTAATATTCCGATCTAAAATAATCATAACAGTAATGATTGGTGTAAAATTTTTATTGAGATCAAATTATCTTTTATAAAAATATCCAATTTTTATTAGCAATTACATCGACATAGTAAAAATTAGAACAAACTAGCAAAGAGGTGGTGGTAATCTTGATCAATCAAAAAAAATAACAATAATAAATAATATTTATTTGTGTCAAAATTTGACTGGGTCGAATTATAATTTGATATATTTAACATATTATTTCTAGAAATAAATTAGAGCATTACTATGAGTTTAAATTATACTTGGTGAAGTTATTAAATTTTTCTTGAATTAATATATTAGTAGTCAACCACAGGAAGAGAAAGAAATTAAATAATGGAGAAGTTTTACGGGTGGTGTACTATTTGGTTGTAAGGTGTTTAAGTTATAAGATTTTGTATTAGGAGTGCTAGAACAAACTTAATAAAGAAAGATATTAAAAAAAAAAGACATTTGTGCACTTCATGGGTGCCTAGATTAATAAGCAACTAGCATGTGGTGAGGCGTAATGAGATATGCAGGGATTCTATAACTACTAAAACAAAGGAATTAAAGTAGGACGCATGCCCAACATGGGTCAAGCGAAGAAAGAATCAACCTATGCAAGACACGTCTACCATAGGAGAGTAATAAGGATCTACCATAGCAATATAATAAGTATTCATCATGGGAAAGTAACAAGTGTCCGTATGGATGTGCAAGTGCATGTGTAGTCTTAATTAATGGATCGACAAATGTTTTGAAAGGTGTCAACAATGCATGTAGTACGTGACTTATGCCGGACAAGTTTAAAACAAGTGTCATTTTGCATAGAATGGTATTTGTAATAGTGGACAAGCAACCATACACTTGTCATAGTGCATGTCAAGCTTTCTACATGTGTCACACAAAGAAACGTTCCTCATTATTGCAAAGGACATCTCCTCCCATTTGCTTATAAATAGAGAAAAAAATTTAACAGCAACCATTGCTAAGAAAGATAAAAGGGCAGAAAGAAAAGAGAGAAAGAGTGGGAAAATGAAAAAAAAAATTAGAGGTTCTGCCCGAATCAAAGCTCAAATTTGACACACCAAGTATTGGGGGAGTTTGGGTAGCCTATTGGATGTCCAAAATCAGTAGGAAAAATAGAAGAAAGAGAAGAGAGAAATAGGGGGGCAAAAAAAGAAATCAAAAAATGAGACTTCTGCAAACGGTGATTTCATATTAGATTGCTACCAATGTTGAGGATATAGTTCTTGTTAGTTTTAGATTCATATCGATTGGAGTCAGTTGAAAATTTGAGGTACATGGTAGTATATATATACTATATTTTTAATCTCTTTGCAAAGAGTATATCCTCAATTCTTCCTGATTTGTTTTCTCTTTGATTAAGTTGTTAAGATTCTTAAATTCCTATTGAATTTTTGCTGGTCTTATGTGTGCATAATTGTTAATATCATACAATATACAATACGATACATATGATATGTTTCGATATATGAAAAAAACGATAGTATCGCTTAAGTGTATCAGTTTGAACCGTATCATACAATACACAATATGATACATACGAGTCGTCCGATACGAGACAAAATAGATCAAAATTTTTTTTTTTGCAAACACTAGATAACGAAATGACGTTTCACCATCTATAGTTTTAAAAAATAAAAGTCTTCTTTTTTATTCGTTCTATCGCAGGAAAAAATAGTTTGATTGTTAAAAGTGTCCTCGTCTGGCAACTTTAGATGTCAGAACTTGAACTCTCTAATGTTGATATTGATGAATTATGTTAAAAACCTTCAATACTTAGATTATTAATTTTTTATTTTGGTACTTGTAATCTCTTTCAATTTTTTTTATTTGAGAAATTTGTGGTGAAATGAAATGTTATTATAACATTTTGTCAGAAACATATATGCATTTTTTTAATATTTTTTAAAAAATTATATGTATCTTACGATACATGATATGTTACGATATGCGATACACTGTTTTTTAAAAACGATACACTTTCGACACACATTTTGACAACCTTACTTGTGTCAATTGTGTGTACATTCATCATGTACTGTGTGGATTGGAGACTGAATCATGGTAGCTAATAGTCCAATGCATCATTGGTTTAAGAAATCTGTGAGATCAGGGTAAAGTGGGGTGGTTGGTGAGATGTCAGGTTCATGTCCAAGTCCTAGTTGACTTTTGTTAATAAATTTGTTCAATTATTGGTTTGATTTAATCCATATATTAATCTGGGCATATTGTTTCCTGTCGTGGTATATACTTCCCCGCTTAATTTATTTTTTTAGGTGGATTTTGGAGCAAAAATCGTCATTGGAATCTTTGAGGAATTAAAGGTGACATAACTTTTTTAATATGCTAATTGAGAGGTATATTTGTATTTAGAGAGATCAATTATCAATTTAATTTTTAGTTAGGTAATTAGAACTCTAGCCATATATTTTGAGATATTTTGTGGAATTTTGTCAATTGATTGAAAATGGGAGCATTACAATGATCTTTTTCCTTTACTGAAAAGAAAGTTGGCATTTGTTACAAGAAACACTTCAAACTTAACATCAACATCAACGATTAACATGTAGATTTTAGGGCCTTACCACAAACATGGCTATCTGAGTTGAGGAACCTATGGCAACTCCAATTGTGATATCCTGTAAAAAGAATAGAGTAAAAATCAACTCACTGGAAGGAAAAAAAAAAGGAAATGGTTAGGATTTTCAGGCACTCACAAGCTTGTCTTTCATAGCAAACATAATAGCACTTGCATGTTCTGCAGCATTCCCTACAATCGGCAGCAGAATGACACTGATAAAAGCCAAAGGTATGTTCATGGAGTCAGATGCTCCCTGAAAAGATACCAGCGACATTGAGTCGAGATGACCATTTAGAGTGTTCAGCTAAGTTTCCAAAAGCTTTGCAGAAATTGTAACAATAGTGATTTCATGTAATATCAGAATTCAAAATTTGCATCCATATTTCAGAAATTAAACCAAAGTTTTCCAAAACTTAACTATTTTCTACCAATCTTTTTCTAGTTAAAAAGAATAAACACCAATGATGCATACATCCCTACCCATAATGTCATAATGAAATATAATTAATGGTAGGAAGAAATTACTGGCAATTAGGCATGAGAAATTCGTTGAAAGTTGAAACTTTTTGAAAGTATTTCACAAAGTTTATGGACATGAATTTAACTCTAAAGGATGTATTTCAAATAGATTAAATTCATATTTGCAAATCTGAAATTAAGAATGAATATCTTGGCTATGGATTACAAAACCATTGAAAGACAAATCCATCATTTAGATTGGGCTATGGTTTAAAACTATAGGAAGCAGTAAACCAGAAATAATCATGTACGGCAATTCATGATAGTAGAGCAAATCTAATTTTTAACAATTGTGAAAGGTCCAAATGTATATAAGTTATCAAAGTCAGCACACAAATTGATAGGTTTTACCTGTAAGGCATCAACGAGATATCCAGATAACACAGAAATCCAGAGAGTCAAAATGGCAAGCCACACAACTGCTTCCAACTGTGTAATCTCAGAAGCCTCTTCTTCATCAAAATCTTCTGCATTATTTTCAATCTCCTGCAACAGATGCCAGAGTAATCATTGATCTAGGACAGCCAAATGCAATATTGTGACTGAACAAAGTTGTCAAACAAATGTATATTTGTTATAGTCGATAAAGTTCCAGATGTGTAGATTTTACAATTATGCAATATATGAAAGTGATCGCTTTAAGCTCTATAATGTTATTGTTGGAGTTATAGTAGCCTAGTTTATTAGGGTTTATTAAAGTTTTTCTTTTTTACCTTTTTATCCTTATTGTAACTTTCATTGGCTATTTATACGGGGACTCTACACTTAGTTTGTATCTCTTTCACTCACAGATATTTCTAGTTGGTATTAGAGCCACAACTACCCTAACCCTAAACCTAGCCTCCACCAATCGTCGCCACCAGCGAAACAACACAGTGACTGCCCATACCGACCAATCCATCTCTTCCACCGATTGCCCATCACTGTCCATACCAGTCCTCACCTAATGCAACCACCGACAGCCTACCTCCCTAGCAAAACCCACCGACTTCAACATCCTAGCAAACCCACCGACTTCTCCCCTGTTGCGACAGCCACTGACTTCACCAAACCCATCAACTGCCTCACCGACAAATCAACACAAACACCCACTGCCCATCACCGACTACCTCACCCACAGCCCATCACTGACTGCTTCACCCCAGCACCAACTGCCCAACAAACCTCAGTCCAATCCAGTGCCCACACCAACAACCGACTGCCCACACCAAAATTCAGTCCAACCGACTGCCCACACCAAAATTCAGTCCAACCGACTGCCCACACCAAAACTCATTCCAACCAACTGCCCACACAAAACCACAAACCACACTGCCCAACATACCTAAAACACTACCCACCCCACCCCACTGCCCAAACCCAAACCCAAACCCAGACCCAGACCTAGACCAGCTACCCACCACACCCCACTGCCCAAACCCAGACCAGCCCACTACCCATCGCACTCTTTGTCACAGCTTCTTTTTTTTGCCTTCGTGCACCTTTGTGCTTCGCGCTCTTTGTCATAGTGCCGCAACATCTAGGACCTTTTAAGTGAGAATAAATCCTCTTCTCCATTGATATGCTCTTGATGTAGTAGATCAATTATTTATATTTATTGAATTTTTGGACACCGTAATTTGATTATTTGAGAGTTTTTTGAACCTTCTTTATCTATCGCTATCATTCGATAGGAGGTATATTGTTCTCCCTTATTTGATCTCTCTATTTTTATTAGAGCTGTTTTTCTGTCACGAGTGTCCTTGTATTGTTGATATGACTACTACTGAGGGACTTGAGACCCCTACTATTGACACCTCTACCGTTGAGACATTTATTAGTACTTCCACTTTTATATTTGACCAGTATACAGTACCTACTGGCACAGTTGCATTACCGGCAATGTCGGGCATGATCTCTCAGAAAATTACGGTACAATTATTGAATGGCCGTAACTTTGCTGAATGACGATTCTAGATATTTTGCTTGGTTCTCTAAGAACTGCGCCATTCTTGGATTGTTATTTAGCTTGATAGAGTCATCTATTTGCAGGGTTCACCAGTTTCATAACTCTGATCCAAAGCTACGGAGTGCATTATCAAAGATGTATTCCCAGTCAGGACGGGGAGTTCGTGTTTATGAGCTTTCTCAAGAGCTCTCGTATGCTTGATAGGGGGATATGATCGTTCAGGATTATTATGGCTATTTGACCCAGCGTTTGCTTGAGTATAAGACTCTATGTCCTCTTGTTGCTATTTCGAGGATAGAGCCCGAGTGAGCAACATTCTTGCATACTCGAAAGCAGAAAAATAGGATTCACAAGTTCCTTATAGGACTTCGTGATGAGTTTGAGGGACCTCGTTCACAGATCATGTCGATGATGAGTCTTTCATCTCTTTATAAGGTGTATGCGATGATTGAGCAGCATGAGTGCCGCGTCCATATTGCATCACTTCTAGTTGCGGCCTTGACTTCTCCGGCCGATCCCTTGCAGCTACTGCAGTGTCTCGTTCGAACCTCAGCTAGAGGTGGACAACGCTCGGACCAACACCTTCAGCGTGTCCCAGGTCAGCGCAGACAGAGGGATTCTCGTCAATGTGATTATTGTGGCCGACCAGGACATATCAGGACTGCTTGCTAGAATCTTTATCCGGAGCTTAAGCCGCCTCTTTGCGGCGGCACTGCTGCTATTGCTGAGATACCACCACTTATTACCGCTGCTCCTACTGTTACTCATTGGCAGAGTGATATGAATGCTATCGCTTTCCGATTGAATATACTTATGTCCACCCTGACTTCTTAGGGTCCAATTTCTACTACTTCCACCACTACACGTATACCTCATGTCTTTTATGCTCGCGTCAGTCTGTCTCCTCTTTGGATGAGGGACTCGGGTGCGAATGGTCATATGACAGGTGAGACCCATCACTTCACCACTTTTGACGAATAGTTACATACACAAGTTCAGCTAGAAGATGGGACAAATGCCCCTATTGTTAGTAAGGGTACAGTCTGCCTCCTAGATGGCTTTACATTACATTCAATTTTTCATGCGCCAAAGTTGGTCATGAATCTATTATCCGTACATCAGTTAACTAGAGATTTTCACTGTGCAATTGTGTTTTTATTTGACTCGTGTTATTTGCAGGACCTGAGTACCAGGAGGATTATTATCAAGGAACATGAGAGAGATGAATTGTATTATCTAGACAATTCACCTTCAGTTTCACCAGTTCCTCCACCTCCATCATCCAGACTTACTTTGTCTTTATCTATTCCTACCTTGCATGCCAGTATTTTATCTAGTACTTGTCGTTATGATTTTTCATCACAAGCTGTTCAGTTGTGGCATGGCCATTTTGGACATACAAATTTTAAATATTTATGTATATTATTTTCTGTTTGAGCAATGCTTGTGTTGGTAGTAAACTTGACTGTGTTATATGTTCCCTGTCAAAACATGTTCGGACCAGTTATATTCCTCGCATGCACAAGTCACCCAAACTATTTGACCTAATACACTCTGATATTTAGAGACCCTCTCCTGTTACTGCTATGTCAGGTGCTTGATATTATGTGACATTTATAGATGATCATACTTATTGTACTTGAGTCTATCTTTTACATAGGAAGTCTAANCTCCTGTTACTGCTATGTCAGGTGCTTGATATTATGTGACATTTATAGATGATCATACTTATTGTACTTGAGTCTATCTTTTACATAGGAAGTCTAACGTACTCCCTGTCATCACTCAGTTTCTCCATGTGATTAAGACACAATTTGATGTCATTATTCATACTCTTCGTTCAAATAATGCTAAACAATATATGTCTGATGTCTTAGTGTCTCACCTTTCTTCCCAAGGTATCTTTCAGCAATTCACTTGTCCACATACTCCTGAGTAAAATAGAGTTGCCGAAAGGAAAAATAGGAGTCTGATTAGGATGGTACGTTATATGCTTAGAAGTATGGGGGTACCAAAATCTTATTGGCATTTTGTTGTTTTGACTTCTACTTTTTTGTGTAATCATACACCGAGTCGTGTTCTTCAGAATATGGCTACCTTACAGGTCTTATTCCCTGAGCAGACACTTTTTTCGGTCCACCCCTTGTGTTTTTGGTTGCACATGTTTTGTTCAAGATCGGTCTCCTACTCGTCATAAGCCTGATGATAAAACAATTCGTTGTGTCTTTGTGGGTTATTGTCATCAGTCTAAGGGATATCAATGTTATGATCCAGTCAGATGTATGTATCACAGTCTAAATGTTACCTTTCTTGAACATATTCCTTATTTTTCTTCTCGTCCTGTGTCTGCCCCTCCAGTTGATGATACTCTCTTTAATTTTTCATTACCACAGGAGCCAGAGTCATTGGTCACTATCACTACAGAGTCATCAATCTCTTCTCCTCCAAAGCCACTCATACTTGTCAGTACAGAATCATCAGTCTCTCTTCCTTTGCAGGTATATATTCGTCGCCCTCACTCTCATCCCCTAGCTGATGTCCCCTCTACCTCGGGCGATGCTGGTAATACTTCTCAGTTCGTTGAACATATTGATGCACCTGTTGTTAGTACTGATAAGATTGCAGGTACTGAGCTAGTTACTTTACCTGATGAGACATTATCAGTGAAAGATGATGATTTAGGACGTCGTTATTCATGGCGTGATTGTCGTCCAGTTGCTCGTTATGGTTGGACTACCAAGACTTTATATCCGATCTCTGCTTATATTTCCTGTGATGATCTGTCTCCTACATTTCGAGCTTATAGTATGATCTTATCAGATACACCAGTTCCTCGCTCTGTTTTAGAGGTTATGCGGGAGTCCCAATGGATTCCAGCCATGCAGATGGAGATGGACGCTCTTCAGCGTAATTATACATGGGATCTTGTCTCTTTACCTCCAAGGCTGAAGCTTGTTGGCTGTCGCTGGGTTTATCAATTGGATGTGAAAAATGCATTTCTTTATGGTGATCTGGACGAGATTATTTATATGGATACACCACTGGGCTTTCATAGTGAGAGGGAGTATGCTGGAAAGGTATGTCAAATATGGAAGTCTCTTTATGGACTAAAATAGTCACTACGAGCCTGGTTCTGTCGCTTTAGTGATGTAGTTGTATATTTAAGGTTCACCAAATGTCATTCTGATCATACCTAATTCATCGACAAAATACTTCTGGATAGTGTGTCATCCTTTTGGTATATGTTGATGATATTATTATTACTGGAGATAATATTTCTGAAACTCTGCAGGTCAAGGTAGACATTGGGAAGGCCTTCGAAGTGAAAGACCTTGAATTTCTNGATAATGTTTCTGAAACTCTGCAGGTCAAGGTAGACATTGGGAAGGCCTTCGAAGTGAAAGACCTTGAATTTCTACGATACTTTCTTGGAATTGAGGTTGCCCGTAGCAGCAGGGGTATTGTTCTTTCTCAGAGAAAGTATGTTTGGATCTTCTCTTAGACACTAGGATGTTGGAGTACAAACCGACATCATCACCCATGATTCTAAACCTGAAGCTTTCTGCTGAAAGCGAGGAATTGAGAGATCCGACCGTCTATCAAAGGTTGGTAGGTAGACTTATCTACCTAGTTAACATTTGGCCAGACATTTTATTCGCTGTCAGGCGAGTTAGTTAGTTCATGCACAGACTATGTCAGCCTCATATTGATGCAGTTTATCATATTCTTCGATACCTCAAATATTGTCCTAGACTTGGGTTGTTCTATGCATCAGGATCTCAGACTGGTTCTCTAGCCTGTTATTCAGATTTAGATTATGAGAGAGCTTGTGACGGTTGATTTACTACAGGCTTCTGTGCTTTTAGAGGAACTCATCTTATCTCTTGGAAGAGCAAGAAGTAGTCAGTTGTCTCCTGTTCGTCAACCGAGGCAGAGTATCGGACACTGGCTCTTGGCACATGTGAGATTATCTGGCTACGATCGATTCTTGGCGAGTTGGGATTTCCAGTGACTTCTTTATCTACATTATATTGTGATAATCGATCTGCTATTCAGCTCGCTTCTGACTCTGTATTACACGAGAGGATGAAGCATATAGAGATCGTTGTTCACTTCCTTCAGGAGAAAGTTAGCAGTGGTATTGTCACTCCATCGTTTGTGGGGACCAGTGATCAGATTGCAAATATTTTCACCAAACATGTTACTCTATCCATTCTTCAGGACTCCGTTGTTAAGCTTGGCTTAGTTGACATTTTTGCGCCTAGCTTGAGGAGAAGTGTTGGAGTATAGCAGCCTAGTTTATTAGAGTTTATTAAAGTTTTCCCTTTTTACCTTTTTATCTTTATTTTAACTTTTATTGGTTATAAATACGGGGACTCTACACTTAGTTTGTATCCCTTTCACTCATAGATATTTCTAGAGTTATCAAATAAGCAAAATGGAGAAAACCAAATAGCTAAACCATGTAGGAATCATGTATATTCCCATACTTCTTAAGAACACTAAAATTAACTAACAACTCTTAAAACAAAATTCAGAAAGACTCACCGCATCAATAGCCTTATAAAGATGGCTATGACTCTTAAGTTGAAAGAAAAGATAACTTGCATATGCCACCAGCATTATGCAGCTGCTAAATCTTGAAAGAGCCAACTCTGACTTCCCAAAATGCGCCTCTGTACCTGTGAAGTGAAGCACTGCCGGAAATAATAGTCCCATAACAGCCATCAACAACAGCCCTGAATTCACCAGGGCAGCTGCCTGCAACATTTTAACCTAAATCAGCAACTTTTTACTGGGGACAGCAGGGAATATTCTTGTTGAATTCAACTAGGAGGTTGACTGGCTTCAAAATGATATGAAAGTAAAAGGCTCATTCAACTGTTCATGAAGAGACTTTTTAATCAGATTCTGATGATCTACCTTATTGAAAATCTGAACTTTCTGGCGATGAACTATCCCACCACTGAAGAAGGCACATCCAAGCACTAATAACATGTTCGACAATATGGAACCCAGTAATGACTGCTGAACAACCCTAATCATCCCATTCTTCAACGCATATATTGAAATTATCATTTCAGTTGCATTGCCAAATGTAGCATTTAGAAGGCCACCAACTGCAGATCCAACCAAAAACTCTCTTCATGATACAGAAAACAAGATTTACCTAAAAAGAAGCATGAGAGGAATAACTTCCATTTGGCGATTTTGTCTTATGTTGTAAATCGCTAAGAGAAATGCTCACCAATTCTCCTTTTTTTTACTAATATATGAGTATAAGTCTAATTAAGGAAGAAATTCAGTGTCTAGGAAGAATAGGCGAAATAATACTTTCAATGGCATGGATATTTCCACATTCGCAGGGAATACTTACCAATAAGACCACTGTGTAAATTACCTAATTTAATTTCACAAGATGGGGCAGGAATCTCACCAAACAGTAATACAATAATTGTGCAACTAAAATGAACAGCTATCACAAGTTACCGTAATTTTCTTAGTTACATTAATAAAAACATGATACTGGGCATTTGGCAAATTGAATTCCTACTCTACGTATAAGAATGAGAGTGAAGTGTGCTTAACTGAGAAATTGACCAATCCAATTCAATAGAACGAGCGAAAAATCTCAATTCTCAAACAAGATAATAAAAGTACTTATATAAAGCTATCTCAGAAGCCGCATATCCCTCACAGTACTTACAGTTCTTACATATATCTCATATATGAGAAATTCAAGCTAATTTGAAGGCACACTTTTTTCGAAGTCAAACTAAGGTATGAAGAAGAGCAATAGGCTCAAGTTCAACCTTTTTTTTTTCTTACAAATGAGCACAAAAAACTTAGTCCATCATACGTATTGTGTACAATAAGAGATGGGGAGAGGCCCAACTGCAAAGATGTATGTTGTAACCATAACATCAACATGTTTGCGTCTTCTATATCTAGGTTTTGCATGTTTACTCGTCTGGGAAAAACACAAAGCAAAAACAATGGATGTACCTGTAGATCCAGTATATAATGCCAGTTGTCTGGACCAGAGCAACAAGTGAACAAAGGTATTAGTATGATCCAAGAGAAAAGTGAATGAACAACATTTCAATTCAACAAGCAATCACTTACTCAGTTGCATAACCCAGACGCTCTGCTAAAGGTATAATGCCCAATAAGCTGAAGATGAAGACCCATCCCTAAAATTTAGTGACCATCAAAGAATTAAAGCCCCAGAGGAACGGCATAAACAATTAATTTTCAGCATATTCCCTTCCCTATAGAAGCATCATAAAAATCATGACTGTAAGAGCTGTACTTCTTACATGCGTTCCTGTAACGTAATGCATCAGTATTGCAAGGGGCCCAAAAGGAAGCAATACGTTAATCTTTGCTCTAATTAAGATGATATAAATACTCCAGAGAGGGCTGATCCTATGTATCCTTTTGAATAGCCATGTATTGGACACATTTGCATATGATACCATATGAGATGTCTCAAAATGCAAAGGATGCACTTTATTCGTGGCTTGTGCTGAGCTTAAAGGTACCTCCTCATCAGATTCAAGGTCTATCGTCTCCTCAATAGATACCATCTGCACACACAAGTAATCACACTGATGAACAAAATTCATAGTATATCAACAATTACACCACATTTAAGAACCATTCAAACAAGTGTCATTATAGGTAAGATATACGTAATTTTCTATGGATTCATATGGTTCTTTTGATTCCTGCTTGAGCCAGATGATGAAGAATTACCATGGGTGATTAAATTGATAAGAATCTCAACAATTGACAAAGCATACCACTTCTGGAGGATAGATATGCTAACATTAATTCCATAAACCAATAGGGAATGCCCAGTAATAAGCTAGGGTATAACCACAACCACCAAAAATGTTGGCACAAGTCTGAGGTAAGTTGAGTTGTCACTACAACCACAAATGATAGTTTGGAAAGTAGATTATTTTACTAATTTTGGTCTCCTCCACCTCACATTACCTTGCATTACCGTCAAAACAAATAATACCCAATACCCAATAAGCATAGTGTTTACACCCAAAATAGAAAATTTTAAGGGTGACACGTGGAGGTGATCTGACGATCAACAAAGAGTCAATGAGAGTTCAAGCCTACCGGTGTGGTTAAGGAAGTGGGACTCTAAAAACCCTGGAAAACAAGGGAACATGGCATCATAAACCGCCAGCTACAGATGGTTCGATGGGCGTCCGCACACCTCACGGGAAGAGGTCATAACTACAATCATGGCCGAAAAATATAGCTTTGACGGTTAGGGGTCATCTCCTATAAATAACGAAGGCAAGGCTATCGAAAGGGGATCTCTCGATCAACACAACAACTTTACATAAGAGTTAGCATCTCTTTTCCTTAACTTATTTCCCAGCAAATTTACTTTACCCTATAATTCATCACTCTGGCATTTTTTCTTAAGTACAATAGCTTTTTCATCTACCAAATTTAGTTTTAGTACTACTTTACATTCCAGGTGTCTTTCTACATTTTAATCCATTCCACTGCAAGGTGAAAATTGTGTAAGTTCTTGATCCCTAAGGCATAGAAATGAGTTCAAAGGTAATCTTACGTCTCGCTACAATCACCACAATTTAAAATTACGTACTTGAATCTTAAGTCACGTTTACACCCAAAATAGGTAAGATTGTACTTGTTTGAATCTTAAATCCAGTCGAACTTTGGCATGCCAGCAATTCGGAAATATGCCAACAACATAGGAATCAGATCAGGCCACAGCAGACCAAAACAGCGAGTTAACACAAGCAATTACAACGTAGAACAGTAAAAATATAACTTTCAACATAAAAATCAATTGGCTTCAGTAAAAGATCCATACAGAAAGCCAGATCAAGACATATACACAAATACATACAAATTACACTGTACTGCTGCAGAGAAAAAAGACAAATAACACACTTGGAAGAACAAAAGCTACGAACTCGAGTAACCTGTAAACCAACTATATTTGATCCGAAACGATTCTACTTCCAAACTGATCCAGCGATTCGGTCTTGGTCCGTAGAAATTGCACCAAAACTATTACATGACACAATCGATAGAGAGGGAAGTGAGGTTCAACCTGCATCGAAGAGGACTAATTAGCTTCGTTACTTTCGTCAGGAGAGAGATGGACAGAGAGAGAAGGGGCCGGCAAAAACGAAAGACGAAGGTTCCGCGAAGTAGCGCCTAATGTGAATTTTAATTTGGAGTTTAATTTAAGCTATATTCGGAAAGTTTAGTCTAAGTCTCGATGACGTGGCAGTGGCCAACAGTACAATTGGCACGTACAATTATAAAAATCTAGAGGGTCATATCTCTTATCCGGGGCCAGATCTAAAATTGGAAATAATAAAAGTTTGTAGTCCACTGAATAATTACATATAAGTACCTCTATATTTTGGGTTATTTTAAAAAGATAATCTTATAATTTTTTAAGTCAAATTTGGCAGTTGGGGGTGTTCGCAGAAGCAACTCAACTACTATTCTTCCCATTCATTCTCTGTTGAATGCCTTAAAAAAATCTCCAATGCTTGAAGTTCGTGCATTTGGAATATTTGTTTGAAATTTGTACTGGATTCTTTCTTACATATTGAACCTGTTAAATTACGTAATAAAAAAATAAAATTTATTATTTACTATTTATGGAAATGACCCCTTGTAATATGAATACTGGCTCCGCCGCCTTGTGATGATTCTTCTTCGCCGGCCGTTTCAACCTGTCGGCAGAGGCTATTCGCCGGGGTTGAGAGTTGGTGAGGATTTTGGAATTGACACGTGTCAGAGGTCTTTGTCTGCTTGGAGGTTGTCCTTACCTGGATTGGGCTTGGCCCAACTATGTGGGCCCACTAATGGCTTCTGCCAATTCAAAGCTCATAAAGATAGTAAACGGCAGCCTTTTTGCTATCCCAGTCAAAGAAATAGCAAGGGGAAGAAGGTAGCCAAAGGGAGACATGGATTTAGGACCATTACTTACACCTACAATATTTCCTGATCTTATCATTCTCTAACATTATATTGCTAGTGAATTGCACTATTAATTGAAATCTATTACCAATTCAATAACTATAATTCATAATGTCAGCAAATAAGGTCACTAAATTAAATAAAAATAACATTTTTCTGAAAACACAAAGTAATAAAAAATTTATTAATCATAAATATATTTATATTCATATCTAAAATAAAATCACAAATATGAAGAAGAGGTAAAGAAATTTAAGCACCGGCTTATAGTGAGAATGAGCGATGGTAATTGTAGTAGGAGAATATGGTGGTTGTGGTTGTGATAGACGGTGATGGTTGTGATTTGCAGGGATGACCGTCGTCGTCGTCGTGGGTTTTAGGTGACGATGGTGGTAGTGGTAATCATGAGTAACGACGACGGTGATGGTGGTTGGCAGTGGTGGTGATGGGGCGACAATGGTGGTGAATGTGAGTGGTGGTGGGCGACGACGGGGGTGCTGGGTGGTGGTGGCAAGTGTGGTAAGGGTGGGTGATAGTGGGTGACAGTTGTGGTGGGTGATGGTAGGTATGGTGGGGGTAGAGTGACAATGGGTGGCAGCGGTAGTGGTGGGTTGTTGTAATGAGTGACGGTGGGCAATGATGGTGGTGGTGAGTGGTGGTAGTGGACGATGGTGGTGGTAATGGTAATAAATATAAGAATGTGATGATGATGATGATGATGGCAGTGGCCAACAGTGATAACAATCGGTGATGTGTGACGACAGTGATGGTGGTGGGTGGTAGTGGTCGACGATGGTGGTTGTGGTAATAAATATAAGAATGAGATGATGATGATAATAGCAGTGGATGGTGGTGATAGTAATCAGTGGTGGGTGAATATAGTGATAGTGGTGGTGGGGCAGTGGGAGTAATGATTGTGGTGGGGGTGATAAGGTGACGATAGCAGTGATGGGGGGCGCAGGGGCGATAAGGGTGGCGGTGGGATGGCGACGACAGTGGTGATGGTGAAGTATTTTGTAGATAAGTGATTTTAAATAAATAGAAGTTTTTATTTTTATTTTTATTTACTTCATTATTTAAGTAGTAAAATTACTTTTGATTTATTTAGAAGTAATTAAAATAAATTATTTCAAACACTACTTTTTTTTTTTAAAATGCTTATGAGAAGTCATAAATTTTAAAATCACTTTTAAAAAATCAACTCAAACATACTTTTAGGGGGGGCTATTTTCCTTATTAAATTTAGAAAGTTAATATTAGTCATCAGATTAACTTTAAAATAAAATTTAAAACGATTTCAATCTCAAAAAATAAAATTTATTTTTTATATTATATTTTATTATATAGATCAATGATTCAATTTCGGTCCAAGTTTTTGGCCCAATAACGATCATTTTTTTCTACATTGAAGAGGTTCAAACTTGAGACCTCCGACTTTTTAAGAAATTGATAACACACTTGTGGCATTCCTTTGCTACCGCAAGAGAGTCCATTATATATGGTTAGTGATGGGGTGTTTTCTGTGATCAAGGGGGGACATGACAAGTGTCCTAAACATATTGGCTGCAGAGTGTTCTTTGGACAACACATGTCCGCGGAGTGTTCTCCAAATGTCTGCGGAGTCCTCGACATGTTGCCCACGGAGCCTCGACATCTTGTATATGGAGTACTCGGCATCTTGTCCACGGAGTGTTCTTCGAATGTCCACGGAGTGTTCCTTGGATGATACACGACCTTGGAAATCTTGCTTGCGGAGCACCCTCCACATGACACATCAGATCGGCGTCAAGTCTATCCACGGAACTAAAGGCACCCTAGAGCTCTTTGCGAGTGACACATATCCTCAACACTAAAGGAACCTCGGAGTCTTATCATGTGACACCTAACCTCGGCTCCCAATGACCCCCGAGGAGACCTCCACCTGACACATGTCCTCGGTGTCGAGTCCTCTACTTCGCCAAGGTATTGACAACCACCTTGGGACTTGGGCTATGACAAATAGTTTAGTTCTTAGATAAGTCAAGAATGATGTCACCACATCAGAGGAATGAGTGACTTTTAATCATCAAACCCTCTTCTCAAGGCAATCAAAATGACAAGGTAGGCAATTTGGTGATCAATAGAGAAAGTTCACGAAGTACGAAGCCCAAATGACATGACCTCCTAGAGGGGCAAAGGACGCAAATGCCCCTGCGAAGCCATCATGAAAAGACATTAAATGACCATTCAAAAGGATGAGACACATTTATTGCTTGGCGGACTCTGGGAGAGGTGCATTAAATGCTTGGGAATACCAGCATTAAATGCAGAAGTTTCTTTTTGTGTAAGGAGGAAGACACTCTGCTCAAAGACTGTGCTCCACAAGCCACCTTCCAAAGGGGCCAATGAGGAGATGTCTCTCCAAGGGACCCACCTATCTACAATAATCATCTTCATGGAGGTATAAATAGCTCTCACAAATGTAAAGTAAAGGTATGCAAATCAGATTCAAACAATAAAATAGTGTCTTTTCCTCCCCGTTCTCACGTACTAACTTGATCATCGGAGGGGTCATGTGACAACTCATATTAAAATTAATCGTTAACATGTAATTTAAGTCTTTAATTATGATTTTATATAATTAATGATCATTTTTAAAAATTTCAAATAAACAAATGAACCTCAAATATATATTCTTTACGTAAAAACGAATCGAATGACTATAATATAGGTCATATTTCGTATTAAAATAGAATGTCATATTGTTAAAATGATATAATATATAAATAATACGTATGTTACATATAATATATGTTAGTGTGTGTTTGTGTTTGTGTTTGTGTGTGTGTGTATATATATATATATATATATATATATATATATATATTAGATATACAAGTGTCAAAAAAAGAAAGAAAAAAAATGGTCATGTACATAAGTGGTGGCATGTGTGTTAGAGGAAAAAATAGCCATGCGTTTTATTCAAAAAAAAAATGTATGAAAGAAATATGAACAATTGTACATGTGATGCAAGCTAGGTGACTTAAGCAAGATGATTTAAGCCAATTGACATGTGACTTTAGCCAAAAACTTTGGCTATAAATAATCTAATAGTGGTCATTCGAACAACACGGCAAAAAGGGGAAAAAGAAGAGAGAGAGAGAGAAATTTATGAGATTTTTGAGTGAAAAATTAAATAGTGAATTTTACTTTTGATCATTACCAAATTGAAGAGTTTTGTTCAGGGTATTTTGAATTTCTTATCTATTGAAGTTATTAATGATTTTAAGATACAGGGTAGTATACAATATTCTTCTGTTTTTTAAATCTCTTTACAAATAGTGTTATTTGATTATCTGAAATTTGTATTCCTATTGATTATTCTGATTGATACGAAATTCTGATATTTTTATTGGTTGACTTATGTTTTGGCTTAAATACTTTGAAATTGATTGGTACATGTACGAAGTATATTTGAGACATACTTGGTGAAATGTGATTAGGCCCCTGCGGGGTGCGATTGTGATTATAGCCCTACGGGGTGTGATTAGATATTATAAGTATGGATTTATATGCTCAAGTATCATTTGTCATGTCACCAAGAGAAACTGAGTATGAAGTTATATTTGATAGCAATTGAGCTATCTGGTCTGTCGAATGTGATTCTTGATTTCGTTTTCCATGATTCTTATCATCTGAATTATTTAGTATTTAGTCATTCATATTTTTCTCGTTGAACATATTATTTCATGTCATATTGTATACTTCTCCGCGTTTAATATTTTTTTAGGATAATCTCAGATGAAATGATCAAAGTTGATATTTGAGAAATCGAATATGAACAAATCTTGCTATAATTTTTAACTTTTATTGGTATTTCGAGATCAAAATTGTGATTATAAATTTATTGAGACAATTACAGTTTCGTCTCTGTATTCGAAAATATTTGTAGTTTATTGTGATCTATTGATTTAATCAAGTAACGCATCCCAGAAACGAGCGTTACAAGTCACGCCGAAAAACACTCTGATGCATTTCTAACTCTATTTTTTGAGTGGCAGAATCCTTCTTGACATGATGGAATCATGCAGACAGCTGAAAAATTAATTCATCACCACTCCTTATACAATCTCTCACATCCAT